AAAATAGTCCCAAAAAATTGGGTATTTTATTTCGAAACATACATAACCAAAACAAATTAATGCCACAGAAATTTCCTTGGAAAATAATTAAGTTTCTTTTATTTAGGTTTAGAGATTAAAATTACTTTAATCCAATTGCTTATTTTCAGAGGTCAACTGTGATAAGCCATTTTTTTTATCAGGATGGTATAGAGTCAAAAATATGGTGAAATTTGGTAAATAATATTTGTACATTGGCTTTGAATGGAGTTTATGATGGAGGGTATGCTGATTGTAACCTCGGTTACTATGATACTTCTGACCTTCTAATTATCTTTCAAAGAAAACAAAAAAAGTTTGATTTTCACCTGAAAAAATTTCTGCTACGGTGTTTTCAGCTTTGTTACTGCAAATTGATTTTTCAACAATGCTCATTTCAGATTCTATTCTCTTGGAGTTGTTGCTTTTAAAACTAGTCATTTTGGTTTTGATAGATCAACTGTTTCGACATTTTCGTTTTTTTTCCAACTTCTAGATTTTGTAGTGCAAGTGGTGCGAAGCTCAGCTTCGCCTCTGTGTATGACAACTACTTATAAGGAAACTTTTTAGTTTTAGAGATAAGGGAAGCCTAGCTGAAATATTGGATCGACCCGTATCTTCATCACAATATAATAACATTTCTTTTATATCTCGTCTCTTCCGTACCGGTGGTAGGTTCCTCAACCTGGTTGATTTGATTCCAAATCATCTCGCTTTTCCGTCGCTTTAAAATGTTCTTTATATTTCTCTCATTCGAAAAATTCCAAACCTCCAAAAATTGTTATTTCCGGATCGCTATTAGTCGGAGACATTAGGTATAAGTTGAAAAACTGAAAAAAAATTTAATATTTGAGGCAATACAAGTCAAGAAAAAGAATCCTGGCTTAGAATTGAGCGATATTATTGTTGATCGGAACTTACAGCTACTGCTGACAGGATTTTTCCCAGTGAGTTCTCCATAAATTCCTCCTCAATTTTCTGCATCCAATGCAATCGCATACAATTAGTCAGCTGCAAATGTTAAGTTCACAATGACGGCATTTTACATCGTTTTCAAAATCCTGTTTTTGCAAGCGAAGCCCATCAACTTAGTAAAATCCAAACTCATTCAATCTGTTTTTTGTTTTCAAAGTTTCAAACGTGAATTCTCCTCTTGCTTTTTCTGTTCCTGTTTTACTCAGCCTTAAAATCTCCAAATTTTTCCTCCCAATATTTCATTTTTGGCAGCTAGTTTTTTTTGTTAGAGATAGATTTACTACCAATTTTAGCAACTAAAAAAATGTCATGTAGCTGAAGAAACAATGATAATTTTAACCTCTTCAGCACTATCAGTTGACCAAGGTAACCGGCATCTTTTGTCCTAGTTATCAAAACGGAAACTCTTTTTTGGAATATTTCAGGCACGAAATATGCGATCTTGTGAGCGCAGCATATTGATACCCATAAGTCAAACGGTAGTAGCAAGGATTTGATTAGGCCCAGCTCACACGATGTCTTCTCTTTGTAGAAAACATATTTTTTCGGGATATAGAAAACTTTTTTAGTTTTCTTCAATCTCGTTTCCATGGGAGTTTCGCGGTTTGTTGGGAAGCAACTCTAGGAAAGCATTTTGTTTTTGCTGAGCCAGGCATCAATAAAAATTTAATCGAAATGTACTTAGACTTCAACTTTATTTATTTATTCAAGGTGAGAATCTTAAGGTCATCAGCAAACAAGTAGGGTTTGCTAAAATTTAGTGCAGTCGGCAGGACTTAAGTAAATACAGAAAACCGAAGTGGTTTTAGTAGTTATCCCTATGGGATAACCATGAACCGTTTCAATTAGGCATCCTACTAAGCCTTGTTGACAAAACGTTCTGAGAATTTATCTATGAAACACTTAGCAAACATTTTTGAAAATTTGGTTGAATAGCAATGACATCGTAACATAAACCTTCGTCAAGAGATTTGTGAGTTTTCTTGAAGAAATTTAGCATGTGTAAGACCACTGAGCGTTTCCTGACAAAACCAAGCTGTCTTGAGAATAAATGCTCTGCAAAACGCTTGTACAGCTCACTTTAGATACAATTAAAAAAAAATTTTACTGCCAATATTAAGGGATGATAGAAGTTGGTGGTTCTTTTTTTTACGCTTATCGCCTTTTTTGAACATAAATGGCAGCCCCGCCAGTTTGCACCTGCTTGATAATTTCCTGATGCGTGTTACATTTCTGAAAGTTTTTCAGGGTGACTGCCATTCGCCTACCAATTTTGTGGGAAAAAAAGTTTGGGAGAATTTCAGGACCTCTAAATTTTTTTTTCGAATCCAGTGTTGCGATTAATTTGTGAATATCTCTATGGAGGCACTGGAAATCGACAAGGTTGGGCATTCTATTTTAAAGTTTTCAATGTGAAAATGATTCTTTAGGTGAGAAAACAGAGTGAAAAAAAATCATTCAATGTGTCTGATTTTTCATTTTCATAGCTGCTGATAACTCTGTTCTTAGCTATTACTTTGGGTAAATGATAGAATTTGCTGAAGTTGTTCAGCTAATTTGGTATCAGATTTGTGTCTTTTTGTTCTTTAAAATTTTGCTGATATTTGAGTCTGTCACTTTCGGTAGCTTCAGTTACAGTCGCTCTAAAAGTTTGTTCATGCTCAAAAGGTCTCTTCCTGCAGCTTTTTCGTCTTACGAGAAAAAATTGTTTCGTAGTTTGTAGTCTATTTATTAGGATAGTATTGTATGGAGAAATTCACGAAGGAAACATTTGTTTGATTTCGTTCTTCGTCGAACTTATACGCCGATTAGAACATCAAAATACTGATACAGTTCCTCAATCATTTTATCTATGTTCAGAAACATACAAATTGACACTGACAAAATAGTCCCAAAAAATTGGGTATTTTATTTCGAAACATACATAACCAAAACAAATTAATGCCACAGAAATTTCCTTGGAAAATAATTAAGTTTCTTTTATTTAGGTTTAGAGATTAAAATTACTTTAATCCAATTGCTTATTTTCAGAGGTCAACTGTGATAAGCCATTTTTTTATCAGGATGCTATAGAGACAAAAATATGGTGAAATTTGGTAAATAATATTTGTACATTGGCTTTGAATGGAGTTTATGATGGAGGGTATGCTGATTGTAACCTCGGTTACTATGATACTTCTGACCTTCTATTTATCTATCAAAGAAAACAAAAAAGTTTGATTTTCACCTGAAAAAATTTCTGCTACGGTGTTTTCAGCTTTGTTACTGCAAATTGATTTTTCAACAATGCTCATTTCAGATTCTATTCTCTTGGAGTTGTTGCTTTTAAAACTAGTCATTTTGGTTTTGATAGATCAACTGTTTCGACATTTTCGTTTTTTTTTCCAACTTCTAGATTTTGTAGTGCAAGTGGTGCGAAGCTCAGCTTCGCCTCTGTGTATGACAACTACTTATAAGGAAACTTTTTAGTTTTAGAGATAAGGGAAGCCTAGCTGAAATATTGGATCGACCCGTATCTTCATCACAATATAATAACATTTCTTTTATATCTCGTCTCTTCCGTACCGGTGGTAGGTTCCTCAACCTGGTTGATTTGATTCCAAATCATCTCGCTTTTCCGTCGCTTTAAAATGTTCTTTATATTTCTTTTATTCGAAAAATTCCAAACCTCCAAAAATTGTTATTTCCGGATCGCTATTTTAACAAGTCATTTAATTCGTTTGAAAAAACGTACTCATTGTGCCTAGAGTGAAGCTATTTACCTTTTAACAGAATATCTATCCTTATGTTGCAGGAGGAACACAACAAGGTGACACCGAGGCTTTATCAATTTTTGCTGAAACAAAACAGATGCTGGTAAAAAAAGCTTGAATGTTTAGATGCTAGAAACCTCGCCGACGACCACAAGATAGTGCTTCGAGTGCTTAAAAAGATAATGAAGTTGGAAAAAGGCTTTGGCTCAAGCCTAAACCCAAAAAAAGATAAGGTATGATTTCTAGGTTACGACACAAGTACGCAGTACAATACAATTATGGGCCTATTTCAAAAATCATTTACCTAAAAAATCCAAGAATCAGTTTGTAACCTTGGGCTACGGTATAGACGAACCTTGTCACCAATAACTGCTAAATGAAAAAAATAGTTGAGCTGGAAAAGAATTTGGAAGATATCCATGAGCTGGATGCACATTATGGTTTTTACCTCATTTTTATTTTTCAAAAGTTACTTCAGCCTGAATTTTAAAAGCTTTTTTGGAGGGTAACAAGTGTAAAAAAGATTGATAGCCCGTTTTTGCAAGAAGGTCTCCCGAGAGCCAAAGTTGTTTTGAGTTTTGGCTTCCACTCGCCTTCTAGTTTTACCCGCTATTTTAGCCTCAGCAGTAGGAGCGAAAAAAAACCTTGAGTGGAATTTTGATATGGAGCACGAATATGAAACCTTATCACGATGCATTGAAAATTTGGTTTGACTCAGCAAAGTGTGTTTAGCTCCAGAAAACGAAATCCAGGAAAACTGGACGTAGCTGGACGGCGCCCACTTTTGATAACGAAATTTCTTAAATGACTCTGAAACTAGAACCTATTGATGTGAAGTTCATTGCTCACCAGATTCAGTTCGGATCGCAATGCTCAAATGTCATACCTTGTGAAAGTCTGAGGTTGAAATTGTCAAATCAGCATGACATGGGCTGTAGGTAGGCATCTTAAGCACCTAGTAGAATGAGCGAAGGCTCGGTTTGTAACCCCCGAGCGGCGGCGGTCGAAGCGAAAGATCGAAATCTGACAATTATAGAGATTTAATCAATGATGGATATATTTTCAATTTTCCCTAGCACAGATTTTAATGAATAAGCCCTAAGAATTTGAGCTTTTGTACCGAGGAACCCAGAGCTGGTAGTTTTCTAGAGCAGAGAATCTCCCTCGCAATACAGGGTGCGAACGCTCCCTGTGTACTGGGCACTATTTTTGATAATACTGCTTTCGAAGAAATCTTTTATTTATAAACTTGTTGTTGTGATAAACTTATTAAATAGTTTGCTTTCAGGTTAATGTTTCTCCGGATTAGCCGTGGTTGCTCCGTGTAAATGTATAGACGTTATCATCAATTCAGAACGTCTTCATCTAGAAACCTGCTGATTGCAGACTCTCGAATTTCAACATTTTTTCTCTACCTGGAGCTCGGATTGGCAGTGTGATCGACTTCTTGCCGGAAAAGGGTAAATACGATCTAATTGTACTTTTCATTGGTGGTAACGACGCATACGAACGCAACGTACCATCTTCTGTCTCCGAACAGGACATAGCCAACGAGATTTCAAAATTAGCAGACGAATTATCCCTAGAGCATCCTGAAAAACAAGATTTTGTACACAAAATACTCAGACTCGTGCAATAGAGAAGGTCACCTGGCAACATTTGAGTGTCGATTTCGAAATTGCAACTGCACCTATTAAGTAAGTTTTTCTCGTTGAATAGAAACTGAACTGCTGGTCTCCCCTCTCGGGAACCATAGGTTTACATATCTGTTCCGAGCCTCAGAGTAGAAACAGTAAACCGCAGGACTCCCCTTTCGTGAACCGTAGTTTTACCTATCTATTCTCCCAGTCGTTGTAATGGTCGATAAAGCGAAAGTTGCTTCTCGTTCCCGAGTAACTTCGGCTTCCGATGAAGCCTGCAAAACATGTAAAGGACCAGTGCGTGCACGTGACCCACTTTTCATCTGTATAGCTTGCTCTTGCAAAATTCACCTAACCAAAAAATGTACCAATCTGAGTGCAGCAGCAATAGCTGGAATGACTGAATTGAAAACAAATGTAATGCTATTGTGCAATGACTGTGTGGAGCAAAACAAACGCGATGAAATCATTTCTCTCATTGCAAAAATGGAGGTAAGTGAAACCAATCAAAGGCAAATTACGAATATCGAAAAAGAAATGATTGAACTCAAAAATTCTTTTCTCGAAATCAAAACTGCATTGATCGAAAAATCTGATCAACCTAAAACAACGCAAGTAAATCAACCAGCAGCAACCATTCGCAAAACACCTGAAGTAACAATGGTCCCTGAGGGAATACGAGTGCGAGGAATCAAAGAATCAGACGACAGAGATCCTAGAAAGCGACAGGAACACGACCTTGCAGAAATCCAGCAGGTATTTGCCCACATTGAAGTTAACTGCAACATCAACGATTTACTGAGACTTGGACCACGAAACGATACGAAAACCCGAACAATCCTAGTCAAAGTGTCCAATTCTTGGCAGCGCCGGCTTATTCTTTCCTCGGCAAGCAAACTAAAAACGTACGACAAGTCAGTCTATCTCAGTCGTGAGCTGTCACAAGATAAGGCAGCACAAGAGAATGAGGCGCTACAAAAACGTCGCGAACTTATTAACGAAGAAATTGACAAAAAAGACTTCAGGATCCGCGATGGGAAACTGTTAATACGACAAGACAAAAAATGGGTTGTCTATGAGGACCCAAAGGAGGCTAATGATTGACTAAACCACTACGCAACTGTTCTTTTATTCAATATACGAAGCATCCTAGATTACAACAGAAGAGCTGACCTCTCATATAGTCTACAAGTTAATGATAACTATGATATAGTGTGCTACACGGAAACCTAGCTCACCGAAAATTTAGACAATGCAGCGCTCTTTCTGCCGAAGTTTGATATACATAGAAGTGACCGTCCCAGTAAAAATGGTAATACTAAGCATGGAGGAGTCCTAATTGGAGTGAAAAAGAATATATCCCACACGAGAATCATGTTTGACTCACCAGATTGTGTAATCACTAAACTTCACTTCAAAATTCCCTTGTTTTTCTGCTGCATGTATAGCGCACCGTCAAACAATTCCTACTGGTGCTCAGCAAATAAACTGATGATACTTCTAAACAATATCAGATATGTGCAACAAGAAAACTCAGTTCGAAATGTGATATTATTAGGAGACACTAATTTTGCACTAACTGACTCGTCTACACTGACATCCAGAGCTGAGAATGAACAGGTGGTATTGGATGCTCGCTGCAGCTTGAACTATGAACAAGCGATTAAAATCGACCATAGAAAATACTTACTGGACGTGATCTTATGCAATAATGGGGATATCCTTTCTGACGTTTGCATTAATAACTTTCTGAAAAGCCACTTCGCCAGCGATCACTTGCCTTACAAGGCAAGGATTCAATTTCAGTCTAACGATTCGTTCCGTCGCGACAGACCACATGAAATTGAACTCGACTTTGCAAAGTTTGCTTATACCAAAGCCGACTGGAGAGCCATAAACGATCAAATAGCTGAGGAGCCTTTCATTCCATACTGCTACAGCAATGTCGATGTTATGACTAGACTGTGGTACCAGTGGATTTATAGTATTATAAAAAAGCACATTCCCTTACAAACTAAACATCGGCTGTCCCTGGCGCCTTGGGTAACCCCCTCAACCTCTAATCTTATTAAAATCCGAGCTACATTAACTAATAATTATACTAAAAAGCCGAGCAAAGCTAACCTCAGGAAGTTGGAAAAATCGCAAACAAACTTGGCCTATGCTCTTCTGATGGATCAGCAAAACCATGAGAGAGAACTTTTCAAAGAAGGGCGTTTTGATAAACTTCAAAAACATCTGCGTAACGTTCGGCGTTCTACTACTGTGCCTAGTGAAATGTATCTTGATGGTGAAAACGCTCGCTCCGACCAAGATAAAGCTGAACTTTTCAACCGGTATTTCCATTCCGTCTACAGCAACATTCCATATGATTCAAACCTAGACAGTGATAATGCGACCCTCCTAAATCATTTTCATTTTAATATCATCGAAATAAAGACATTTTAAAAAATCTTAACATAAACAAGTCAAAAGGACCTGATAGATTGGGAAACCTGCTCTTTAAACAGCTCTGGAGCTCCATCTCAAAATCACTAACGTTACTTTTCAATACGATTGCGAACAAGCAGAAATTCCCATCTACTTGGAAAGTAAGTGAAATAGTGCCTATCCACAGGGAAAATAACAAACAGGTAGTCTCCAATTACAGACCAATCAGTCTTCTGAATGCTACATCGAAGGTATTAGAAAAACTGAAGTTTGATAAAATGTACTCGAAGGTGCAAAAACTGCTGCATAACTCACAACATGGTTTCAGAACGAAACGCTCAACCATTACTAACATCATACTCTATCTCCACGAAATCTATCTAATGTACGACAACAAGAGTGTAAATAACCTTTCATCCCTGTATCTTGATTTTGAAAAGGCGTTTGATAAATTCAACCACCTGAAACTAATTGAAAAGCTTTCTCATACCGGCTTCAGTGGCGCGTGCCTTGGTCTACTGAAAAATTTTCTCAGTGATAGATACCAGCAGGTGCGAATCGGGCATTGGATCTCAAAATTACTGCCAATAACAAGTGGGGTTCCGCAGGGATCAATACTTGGCCCACTCATGTTTATTTTGTACATAAATTACCTGCCAACGGTGGCCATGTCCAACTGCTTCGGCTATGCTGACGACTATAAAATTGTCTCAGATAACGCAATAACCCTGAATATCGACTCGAATGAAATTTGGAACTGGTGCTCCAAGAATTTCACGTGTTTGAACCTAAGTAAATGCAAAACCCTTCAGTTTAAAGCGGTATGTCTGTTTGCATGAAAAAAACAGAATATACCAGGAACGGATCTTATGAAAGATCTTGGACTTATAGTCACAAACAACCTGTCTTGGACGGAACACGCTAAAACTAGATCCGCTAAATCGCTAAAAGCTTTCTTCTCTTTAAAAAGAAACCTAGCCAATAGCTCGACCATAAGCACTAAGAAGAATGCATACAGAGGATATGTAGAGCCAATAATCAGCTATGCATCGTCTCTTTGGAAACCATCTAAGTCCGAACTGGCACTCAGTGAGAAGATTCAACATCGAGCAAGTATCTGGATATAAGGCACAAACAAGCTTTCATATAAATCGCTTCTTCAAAGACTTCACTTACTACCACTGTCCTTATATCATGAAATGCATGTAGTTTTACTTTTTGCTAGGATTATCAAATCGAAAACTGACATTGATTGGGAGAAGTATGTACAGATTTTTGATACAGGCATAACAAGATCTCACGCAATACCCTTTTATACCAGCAAATGCTTCCAACTGAAAAAATGCGAATCTGATTTTTGGCAACGAGCATGTTCACGAAACGCTCAACCATTACTAACATCATACTCTATCTCCACGAAATCTATCTAATGTACGACAACAAGAGTGTAAATAACCTTTCATCCCTGTATCGTGATTTTGAAAAGGCGTTTGATAAATTCAACCACCTGAAACTAATTGAAAAGCATTCTCATACCGGCTTCAGTGGCGCGTGCCTTGGTCTGCTGAAAAATTATCTCAGTGATAGATACCAGCAGGTGCGAATCGGGCATTGGATCTCAAAATTACTGCCAATAACAAGTGGGATTCCGCAGGGATCAATACTTGGCCCACTCATGTTTATTTTGTACATAAATTACCTGCCAACGGTGGCCATGTCCAACTGCTTCGGCTATGCTGACGACTATAAAATTGTCTCAGATAACGCAATAACCCTGAATATCGACTCGAATGAAATTTGGAGCTGGTGCTCCAAGAATTTTACGTGTTTGAACCTAAGTAAATGCAAAACCCTTCAGTTTAAAGGCGGTATGTCTGTTTGCATGAAAAAAAAACAGAATATACCAGGAGCGGATCTTATGAAAGATCTTGTACTTATAGTCACAAACAACCTGTCTTGGACGGAACACGCTAAAACTAGATCCGCTAAATCGCTAAAAGCTTTCTTCTCTTTAAAAAGAAACCTAGCCAATAGCTCGACCATAAGCACTAAGAAGAATGCATACAGAGGATATGTAGTGCCAATAATCAGCTATGCATCGTCTCTTTGGAAACCATCTAAGTCTTTGGAAGCCTGGAGATTATGCTGCGACTGCACAAATTGCATCAATACTGAAAAACTGAATTTCTATGAGACTCAATAAAC